AGCAAAGAAAGTGTACAAAGTGTCTACTCGTAGGTATGAAAACATCGTTTGTTATACACTTATAAATGAAATACATGTACTAGTACAAAATGTATTGAGAAATATTAATAATGAAATTAAGTGCGTATTTTCATTTTCTTATTTTCACTGTAAAAATTATTTTTTCACTGCAGTTAAATATAAATTTCTGTATTTTCACTGGTGTCTTGCCGGACTTCTTTCTTCTCAATTCAGACAATACACTAAATTTAAGTCTTTCAAATTGCAATGTCTTGTGGTATGAAAAATTATCATATTTATTTAACTCGTTGCTACAGCCACTCGTTTTTTTCTTGCCAATCAATGAAAATAAATCCTAAACAGTTTATCTCATTTCGTGACATAAAATTTGGCGGAAAAAAGCGGTTCGACAATACAGTTTTTCTGATTTCATCAACTTCTCATTTCGTGACTTCAGGTAACTAACTTGTGTCCAGAAAATATCTCAAAGTGCTAATTGCAGAATGTCGACATTATAGTTTTTCTCGTTTCGTGACTTCAGGTAACTAACTTGTGTTCACAAAATATCTCAAAGCGCTAATTGCAGAATGTCGACATTATAGTTTTTCTCGTTTCGTGACTTCAGGTAACTAACTTGTGTTCACAAAATATCTCAAAGTGCTAATTGCAGAATGTCGACATTATAGTTTCTCTCGTTTCGTGACTTTAGGTAACTAACTTGTGTTCACAAAATATCTCAAAGTGCTAATTGCAGAATGTCGACATTATAGTTTCTCTCGTTTCGTGACTTTAGGTAACTAACATGTGTTCACAAAATATCTCAAAGTGCTAATTGCGGAATGTCGACATTATAGTTTTTCTCGTTTCGTGACTTTAGGTAACTAACTTGTGTTCACAAAATATCTCAAAGTGCTAATTGCAGAATGTCGACATTTATAGTTTTTTCTTCGTTTCGTGACTTTAGGTAACTAACTTGTGTTCACAAAATATCTCAAAGTGCTAATTGCAGAATGTCGACATTATAGTTTCTCTCGTTTCGTGACTTTAGGTAACTAACATGTGTTCACAAAATATCTCAAAGTGCTAATTGCATTATGTCGAGAAAATCGGAACTTATTTCTGCGCCTTATAGTAACACACTTGTCGACAAACATTTTAATTTCATACCACATTCAAGGCATCAAGTCGTCAAAAAACGTAAGCATAAGCTTGCTGGTAACACGCCAAGTCGCGAAAATACAAGTCGACAATACCACTTCTATCTAGACAAGTAGATTGTCATTATACGCTTCCATAATCAGTGAATATATTGAAGCATATGAATGCTAAGACACATCAAATCAGCCAATTATTGATCAAAATGATTAGTTTAATTTGACATAATGTCGACAATATAAGTGGCAGATTTATAGCAAATTAAAGATACAACTACCATGTTACATATAGTTATAAAGAATGTGATCTTAAACACCAACATAATACGTTGTCCTTAAAAAAAGATGCAATTAAACATAGCATGTTAAAATATGTGAGTTTGATATGGTTTAGTAGTGGAATCACACAAGGTTGCAATTACATGAAAGTGCCATCAGTAATCATAAGGCAATGATTTGAATTCAGCCCAAAACGCAGGTTTTCATTGTCATAAAGAAGTATAGAAGCAAGCATAATGTAAGTTCCGATATCATAAAGCAAGATGGAATAAATGCATTAATTCTGTTCCATAGAGATTGAATGACTTGTTAGGATGAGGAGCCAAATATACAGGTCATTGCAAAAATACTGTGACGTATAGCGTAAAAATAAAGAGTTTAAACTCAAGCGCTTAAACTGAATAATATCACTGAAATAACGTAACGGGCTAAAACTCGAAAAAGTGAAACAATATTTAATTAATATTTTCACTGTTTCAAATAGTGAAATATCACTTGAATATTTCACTGATATATTTCTATAAACCACCAAAAAGCATGTAATATAGAGGATATTTGTTTGTTTTGCATGTAAGATTGAAATGTAATTTCACTCAGTGAACACCAGATTCAATATTTTTCACGAGTGGCCGGTCAGCCACGAGTGAAAATATAAATAGCTGGTGTTCACGAATGATAATATATTTCAATCTTATAATGTAAAACAAAATAAATTTTCTTTTTATTTTATGCTTTTTTACTGATTGCCCGCCGTAACGTCACGCATTATCCGTTTGTGAACGTCCATATAATGACGTCACATTCATCTTTGAAATCTAGTTAACTCGTTTTTTTCTCTAATTTTGTTGAAATTTCTAAGATGAAAAAGTATGAAATAACATTGCACCTTTCTTTTCCTAAAAGAAGCAAAAATTTACGTATGACGGAATTTATTCTGCCTGTTATTCCATTTTAATTTATGATTTTCTGTTTTCATCCGCATTCAGATATAGTCCGGCTACAGTGGAAAATTTAATATTTTATAAATTTCACTAGGGTTTATCCAGAATATAATCATGCTGATTATAATTACAATAAAACACTGGAGAGCATGAAATAAAAAACTGATAATTATATAAAATTTTGAATGAAATACTTGAAAATATTTGATGAAATAAAATGCGCATTTTCCGTATTATCATTGTAAAATTTATTATTTACTGCAGTGAAGCATATTTTCCGTAATGTCCAACTGGTTTCGGTGACTTTTCCTTATTAAAATTTCAGCCAATACACAAAATTAAATGAGAAGTCTTAAGAATTGTTTGAAAAAAAAAAGAAAAAAAGTAAAAATTAGAGAAAATGAAGAAATATTCTTTTTAAATTTTGGGATATTTTTTCTTTCTTGTGATATGAAAATTACCAAAATTTAAATTTTTGGTGGGTACCCCCTTTTCCTTTTGAAAAAAATTTAAATTTAAATTAACACTAAAATGGAAAAAAAATTCTTGTTTTTTAAAGAAAAAAAAACCTGGGAATACCCTCTGTTATTTTTTTTAATGTCAACCCGAAACGTCAAAATGTAGGAAGGGTTTTTTGAAACCCGGGTTAAGAGGGAACGTAAACCTTTAACAAACGTCATTTGACAACGCTCCTAGAAATTTACCAGAAATAAAGGCTGAAAATATTTTAATGAGGCCCTTAAAAATTTGGGCTTTACCCCGAAAGGGCCTCCAAAGGTGGGCCCCCCAAAAAAAAAAAAAAAAAAAAGGGTTTGAGTCCTCAGGGGTTTACGGGAAATTTTTACCCCCACGAGGGGCAGGATTCAAAGAAATTAATAAAAAAACAGAATTATGTTGGCCCAAATAAAAGAAGTCAAGTTTTACTTACAAAGGACCAAAGGGCAGACCCGAAGTCGTTCTGTAACCCAAAGAAACAATTAAAAAGAAGGTTCAATTGGGACGCATGGCACGGATCAGAATTTTCCCGAGGTCTCAGGGGGCGGAAAATATCCGTGACGATTTTTCGATCAAGCGACGATGAATTAGAAGATAGGAGAAAGTCCAAAGCTAAAAAAAATTCACCAAAGCAGGAATTAGGAACAAATGGCTGCTGATTAATAATACGGAGTTTAGAAAACAAAGAGGAAAATCAATAGAGCGGTCAAATGGATGTATAGCACATAAAGGGGTTTAGAATCGTACAAACATGAAAAACGAGGCGGGAAATAAGGTAAACTTCGAGTTTCACCGTTGTGCTTAGCATAATACTACAGTACTTATTACTAACTAAAATGATGATAAATTAATCACAGAGATAACATTTTGTATGCAAATATCTTGACTTATACTTTTTATTATATCTAATGTTTTATTATGTATTTGCTATTAGTTACATGGTCTACGTCCTCGTAAAAGGTTTGGTTTAAATATGAGGGATAGATTTTATTTTTTATACACATGAAACATGCATGCTTTTGTACTCCACGGAAAAATATTCATAATTCTGGCTTTCCCAATAAAATGGCCTATAAAGGGGTTTAAGTGAGTTATATCTTTTTTGAGCTAAGATTTCCGTAAGTCCAAGCTTACAGGTGCAATCCACAAACCTATATCAAATTAACAATATGTATGTAAAGATTACAGAACAAAATGGACATTAAGTGTATCTAAATTTGTTCTTTGTTAGTTTACCTGAACAGTTCCACCGTTTCTTGCTTTAGATTATTGCCTGAAATAGCTTTTGTTTGTCAATTTTATAAATTGGTAATTAGATATTCCGGGAAATTTATTTCATTCTTTTCAATGTATATTCATTTATTATTAAACACCAGAATACTGGCATCAATTTATATTCACACCAGATTCGCTTACCATTTATATAACACTAGATAATATAATACCATTAACATTAACATCAATTATACTCGGTCATTTACATAACACCCATCTACTTATTGCATTTACAGGACATAATAATATATCAAAGTTACATCGCACCAGATACTGCATCATTTAACATGAAACCAAAGATACGATATTAATGAAAAACATTGAAGAACATTATTTGTTTCGTTTGAATTTTAAATTGTACATGTTTGGAAACCTCTGAAAATGAATTGAATTGTAAGCTGGCCACCACATTTGTAATAACTAATTCCCTCCGGGATCCCTCTTCAAATTGAAAGGGAAAATGAAGACCTTGATAAAAAAGATAAAAGTTGTAAACGCAGAAAAAGGAAAACATTGCGACCAAACTTCTTAACGAATTTGTGAACCTAGGGAAATGAAGAAGGAAGAAAGAAAAAGAAGATTGAAGGGCTACCAAGTTGCTTTGGTTTCATTTTTCAACTTGGATGGGCCAAAAGGAAAGAGAAACGTCGGGTGAAAAAAGAAAAGAAAGGGGGCTATAGCTAGCCGCACCCCCACAAACCACGCTAAAGGTAAAGAATCTATACTTTAGTACACCGACACACCTCGCTCGCAAGTTTTAGTGACAGTTAGAAAATTATATGAAATATATGAAGAAGACAAAGCTGGTTTTATTTTATTAAACAAGATAATTCATTGACAATACTATTTTCTATTTTAGTTCAATATGAGCATAGAAAAGCACGTGGCGGGGAGTCTTTTACTATTGAGGTAGATTGCAAACCAATAGAAATGAAGCCGATATTGCCGCCAAATAAAGAAAGCTGACGGGCCTGTAAGTATAAATCTCATTTTGAATACAAAACATACTTTCTATGCATACTGGAAATATTTTTGACGCAAAATGAAAAAATATATATGTATTAATAAGGCGTTTTATGTAACTGCACTATTTGCTATTCACTATTCAGTCCGTGTATAAAAATGTTAAAATTTCCCCTATAAACGATCCGTGGTTAAGTATTTTAACAAACGTAATTAGAATAGTAATTAAGTGTTAAAAACATTTGAAATTTGCCCTTCGACCACAACTAATATACATGTATTATATTATTAATCTGCAACGTTAAAAAGTTATATTTAATCCAATGTATATATCCGGCAAATATTGCTTCAAATGAACTAAATCCCATTAACGCTATATAAGTACCGGAAAAAAACGAAATATGCCGAGTATTGACGAATATACGATGAAGTTATGTCTTGATTAAAAATATCTATAAATTCATAAGACAAACAACGGCACGATATGGAACGTAAGGAATAGCCAATAGTCTACTTGTATTATTTGTTACTATTTTGTTACTACAGTATAGATAAATATAATTTAGACAAAATTGCTAATTTTTAAAAGGAAAGTTTGAGTTTGACTTTAATGTTTGTTACATTCTAACAGATACGACTAGCTTGTGAGGCTCGACAAGAAAAGGCCGAAGCCAAAAGAAATGAGGAGCTTTCCAAAAAGAAGGTACTGGCAAGAGAGCACCAGAGAAAAAAGTAAGTTCACTAAATATTGTCTAACAACCAACATATACATGTACATTTTATTACACAATTTACATTGATAAAAGGAATGTACCTGATGTTCAGACAAGAATTATCAATTTCGCACGTTTAATGATAATATAATTTCGATATAATAAATATCGTATTAATAATATAACACAAAATATGTATAGCATTATAAATAAACCACACCAGACAATATCTCATTTACATCACACCAAATATTCTATGATTAAACATCAACACCAGGTTTATAGATTTTTTTTTCATTAACAGGTTATAACCAGAAACATATCATTTATCACATTACACCAGTAACCTGTAAAGTTAACAAATATGATTTACCAAGAGTCGCAAACAAGATACTTTTATCCATTTACATCACCACCAATCAAATATCATTTAGTTTCCACACCAAGATAATATATCATTTTACATGGCATAAGAACAACAATTACAGTATTTTACATGACAAACCATAATATAATATTTAATTTATATTATACCAAGATACTGGGAGATACATTACACCAAAACACCCAGGTTCCTTACCATTTTATATTTAGGCCTAGATGAATATAATCATTTTAACATCACTCAGATACTGTATCATTTACATAAAAATCACTATTCATTTACAGGCCATAATACTATAGCTTTACATAAACAATACAAATTTATATCACTCCCAGATATGTAAAAGATTTTTAATTATTTCCAGATAACATATATTCATTTACACATACACAAGTATATTTCGTTAGTTTATATTACACAAAGATATTATATCCATTTACATCACGCAAATACTATATTCCATTTACATCACACCATATACTATATCATTTACATCACATCATATACTATATCATTTACATTACACAAGATATTATTTCATTTATATAACATCAGATACTATATCATTTACATCACACCATATTCCTTATCATTTACATTACACAAAATACTATTTCGTTTATATTACACAAGATATTATATCATTTACATCACGGCAAATACTATATCATTTACATAACACCATATACTATATTATTTACATCACACCAGATACTCTTTCATTTACAACACAACCACATACTATATTCACTTACATCATACCAGATACTATATCATTCACATCACATTACATACTATTTCATTTACATCACACCATATACTATATCATTTACATCACGCCAGATAATATATCATTTACATCACATCAGATACTATATCATTTACATCACACCAGATACTATATCATTTACATTACACAAGATACTATTTCGTTTATATTACACAAGATATTATATCATTTACATCACGGCAAATACTATATCATTTACATAACACCATATACTATATTATTTACATCACACCAGATACTCTTTCATTTACAACACACCACATACTATATCACTTACATCATACCAGATACTATATCATTTACATCACATTAGATACTATTTCATTTACATCACACCATATACTATATCATTTACATTACGCCAGATAATATATCATTTACATCACATCATATACTATATCATTTACATCACACCAGATACTATATCATTTACATTACACAAGATACTATTTCGTTTATATAACACCCAAGATATTATATTCATTTACATCACGGCAATACCTATATTCATTTACATAACACCATATACTATATTATTTACATCACACCAGATACTCTTTCATTTACAGCACACCACATACTATATCACTTACATCATACCAGATACTATATCATTTACATCACATTAGATACTATTTCACTTACATCACACCCATATACTATATCATTTACATCACGCCAGATAATATATCATTTACATCACATCAGAAACTATATCATTTACATCACACCAGATACTATATCATTTACATCACACCATATTCCTTATCATTTACATTACACAAGATACTATTTCGTTTATATTACACAAGATATTATATCATTTACATTACGGCAAAATACTATATCATTTACATAACACCATATACTATATCATTTACATCACATCAGATACTATATCATTTACATCACATCAGATACTATATCATTTACATCACATCAGATACTATATCATTTACAGTCGCACCAGATACTTTATCATTTTACATTACACAAGATATTATTTCATTTACATCACATCAGATACTATATCATTTACATCACACCATATACTTTATCATTTACAGTACACAAGATACTATTTAATTTACATTACACAAGATATTGTTTCATTTTAATCACATCACATCATCACACCATATACTTTATCATTTACATCACACAAGATACTATATCATTTACATCACACCAGATACTCTATCATTTACATCACACCAGATACTCTATCATTTATATCACACCAGATACTATATCGTTTACATCACACAAGATACTATATCATTTACATCACACCAGATACTCTATCATTTACATCACACCAGATACTCTATCATTTACATCACACCAGATACCCTATCATTTACATCACACCAGATACTATATCATTTACATCACGCCAAATACTATATTATTTACATCACACCATATACTATATCAATTACATCACACAAAAATATATTCTACATTACTCATTTGGATTGATCAACATACATTTGTCACATTTTTCTTTGATATATTAAGGATTGAATGCAAGCAAAGAAAGGAGGAGTCCGAACACCGGTTTCAGGAAAGAGCTCGACTCACTATCAGATATAGACAGGCAGACGCAGAAAGGAATAGGAGTCGCATGTCGTCTCAAAGAGCCAGCATAAGCCGGATGTCAACCAGAGCAAGAAGCTCACTGGCTGTTTCCTCCTCCTCAGAGTCTGTCGACGAGGGCAATAAGAACGCCCTCAAGATCGGCAGCTCTCACTAAATTTTAAACCGGCCGACACTCCCTATAAATAGTAGACCCATACATTTTGCTATTGACACGTGATAGGCAGATTTTTTCAAAAAGACTACAAAATTAAACAATTTAATCTCCTTTTCCCAGATCATTTTTCATTTTTTAATGTAAAACTTCTTTTTTCATTTAATTATCAGATGACATTTTTTTATATATTCGTTTTCAGCCTTTACTTTTGTGATACTTCTATACGAATCTCAAATCATATTGTTTGTAACATATGTCCATTGCCAATTTATTCATTGCCAATTTTTTAGTTTGTTTTTACTTTCTTCATTTTCAAATTTCTGTTTTTGGAAAACAAAGGTTAATATCATTTCGCCCGTAGTCTTGATAAATTCTCAAATTATCAAATTCTGTGAGATTTCAACACAATTGTTATATTTTCAGCACTATTTTCAGAGACAATACATTTTCGATATATTATTTTATCTAAATAATTAACTTTACACTTTACAAACTTTAAAAATTACATCTTTGTTTTAAAATCTTTTTAACAACCTGACCGTGATCTGCCTTGAACAAAAAAAAATACATAAAACCACGAAAATAAATATCAAATCTACATTTTGACCTTGATTTATCAACGTCAAGTATGATGATACTTACCCAAAAAATCTCATCTCATTTTATCATCCAATCATTCATGCATTCATCTAAAAAACCCAAGAAACAAGGCATTGGTCTTACCGTTTGAAAAAACTCTAAACTTTTAAAAATGCATTTCTTTTCATACCATATGTGTACATTTCAATCACTAATTTGTTATATTTTTTTAAGTTTCATTCATTTTTCTTTTTAAAATCTGGCTAGTCAGAAAGCGCATCTAGATCATTAAGTATATTTTTGGATATTCTCATCTTGGCAACAAGGAAATATTTCCGGCTTACACTATACATCCTATCTTAACTGTTTTTTATACATACATTAAAATTTAAATTTACACTTTTTTGATTATTCATTATAATTATGTTAACAACTGGACCATGATGAATATCATCTGCCTTGAACAAAAAAATACATAAAACCACGAAAACAAGTATCAAATCTACACACTGACCTTGATTTGTCAACGTCAAGTATGATGATACTTACCCAAAAAATCTCATCTCATTTTATCATCCAATCATTCATGTATTCATCACCCCCCGCCCCCAAAAACCCCCAAAAAAACAAGGCATTGGTCACTTACTTACAGTTATAAAAAAAACTTTAAATTTTTAAAGATACATTTCTTAACATACCCCTCATGGACAGTACAATCCCTGTTTTTTATTCTAAGTTTCTTTTATTTTCATTTTTAAAATCTGGCTAGTAAGTAAACTTAAATCATTAAGTTTATTTTTGGACATAATCATCTGAGCTGAGCAACAAGAAAATATTTATGATTTACAATATACGTTATATTCGTAATTCGTAATTCAGCATTGTTATGTTATAGCAATAACTTTTTTCATTTGTATTAACAGTTAAAAAACAATATGGCTTTAAATATCATTGATATTCCAAGTTTAATTTATAAATTATTTAATTACTATTCACGTGACATGGCTCCAATATTTTAAGGCATAAAGACCCTTTGGCCTGCTGTTATAGGGATGTTGTCGGTTTTGGTTTTTGGCATTTTGGTATTTTGTTTCTAATCTTTCAAAACTTCCCTCTCAACATTGCACATTTGATATTAAGACTTAAAATTGACATATCAGTAAAATAAATACATCTACAGTTTATTTTACACATTCTCCTTATACTTGCATAATTATACAAATAAAAACAATTTTGGATCACAAAGCATACTGCACTTGTTGTTGTTGTTTTACTACCATTTTGACTTCTCGGGAATATAAATCATCGTATCAAGTATTCGAGAAATCAGAGATCAGAGACGCTTTGTCAAAATTGTAAACAGGGGCGATTATGCAAAATCAGCTAATTTCTGATGGCTTCAAAGCTTACATGTAAGATAATTCGTTTGTAATTATAGCATAATTTAGCACTCGTTTATCTTGCTTGTGTTAAAAGAAGAAATCTTACCAACAATCCAGTTGTTGTTTATAATAACTGGTCGGGTTTTTGAGCGGTCTTCTTCGCTCAAATTGTACCATTTTCCGTCAGCATACATTTCTAGTGGTAACATCTTGATAGTTTCGTTTCCGTACCTGAAAAAGTTGTTAACAAAGAAAAGAATACTGAATAAAATAATCCTTGTAATGTACCATTATGCGTAAATATTCACGTTTTTAAAAAGAATATAGTTCCACTAATATTAAAGAGCAATATTACTGAAACAGTCAATATAAATAAGCATAAGCAAAGCAGGGATTTTTTCATCATGTTGGCAATAGTGCTTCAATTTTGATAGAAATATAGTAGCAAATGGATACAGTTTGCATGATATCAACAATAATAAAAATTATGTTACATAAAAGGAAGTAGTTTATGTATTAACTAAGGGGTTGTGATTATAAAATAAAACAGTGAAACGGTAACATTCATATCTTGCAATATATATATATGCCAACAATTTAAGTTTTTCGTTGTTAATGTTGTAATGGAACTATTTAAAATTACTGCAAGTTATATTTACCACTATGCATTTACACGCACATGTCGCATAATTCCACAATAGAATCAGGCACATTAAATGGAATTAGAAACTTTAGAAATTTAATTGAAATCCCTTGCAGAGAGTGACCTGTTAGAAAAGATATTTACAATATTTATGTAGAACAGTTTTGAAAAGTGTTTAATTAGAAATGTAATTCAGTATTTTACCCGGAGACTTTTACCTACATAGCTTATAAAATGATTATTGATTTAAAAAAACATATTGAGATTTTGAAAGGAAAATTAAGAGTCTTAGTTCATGCTGTATTTGCTACTTACCCGTCCCTGAGTAATCTTGCAAGAACTACTTGTTCATTTTCCTCTTCAAATGTACCAAAATCTTCATTTTCTTGCAAGGACTTTATCCGCTCACCCAGAACCATCATTACATCTGTCACTTTATGCCAGACTATTTTCGTTCTACATGTATTTCGTAGCAAAATGAATCCACCTGCAAATGTCTCTGAATTTAAACCGGAAACAGGGTTAACAATAATGTCATGATGTTCTTTGAATGATATAGATGAAACAGCGTTGCTAAGCCAAACACAATCTACTTCAAATATGAACACATCTATATTTGCCAAGAGTAATACAAGAACCATTTCTGCGCGTTTAATGATAAGTTTCATATACCCAATTTTGCCGGACGTTTCGGTTCCCGCTGAGGGTCCCAATATCCAAAGATATTACGTTAATCTCAGGCCATCGTGTTTCCCTTGTCAGTGTATCCAGGTTGCAATCAAAACAGATTTATGAATATTCAGGGTTTTGGTATTACACAACCAACTATTCACAAACGGCATATACGCATCGTTGACCACAGTAAAAAGGACCATGTTTCTCTCTAACGTCATCCCACTGGCGACTGATATTAATTGTCTTTTCACAGCCTCAGACTCCGAATTGATGTCTGATTTCATAGTATGCACGTTCCTACTTGTGTTTTGTTTGTATTTATCAGTACTGCATATTACACGAATATAATCCTCAGCGATATTTGTACAAGGTTTGTCATATATTTGCACATGTGTTTTCATAAATAACAACAATAAGAAAGTAACTAGAGTTTGCAATGTAAAGAGTACAGTTTTGCTTAGTGAGCATGACATGTCACATGCTATCTTAGACACCTTATTTCGTATTTATTAAAGAAAACAATTTCTTAAAGTGTGAAATATAATTAGTAATGTGCACTTTTCGTCTGAAAGATGAACTACTTCGAACTTGCTCCGACGGATGTATAATATATATAAAGTTTGCTGACTCTGAAATGCCAATATGAATCGTTATTCCAATGAAATGTTTCTATATTTCACTGAAATTATACAAATAAAAGTGAGTGAGTAATAGATATTTTCCCTTTCTTTGGACAAACATGAGTCAATAATACTAGTCATGAAGTGCTAAGTGCTGAAGTTTTCCATATATTCAAAAAGGACTATTTATATTGATAACATTTGACAATAGATAGTGTTTGTAAGGACTTTATTATTACAGTGTATATATCTTAAGCCTAAAATGGCTTTGGATCTATGCTTGTTATCAGAAAATAACCATACCACGATTCCATTTTTTTCCAGTTTCAAACTTATAACATACCGTTTAAGAATGTTCTCGCGCCCTTTATTTGTAAGTAATTCTTATTTTGCGGGCCATATTACAAACATTCCGTCATGTTAGATGTTTTAAACATTTCTTGCAATACACTGCTTCTTAATTTGACATAAATTTATGTCAGTATCTAACTGTCTTGATTCATATATCCCACTTATAAAAAAAGTAAAATATTTTTTGCTTAACATTATTATACAAACTTACATACCGTGTTTCAAGTTGCCTCGTACTTCACTTCAGTGTTGTTATATTTTCTGGTCCTTCGGGATCATTGATGCCAACACTATAAAGTGTTGAGAATTGAGTACCGCTCAAGCCGGTGCTAGGGGGCGTGAGGGATGTTGCACATATTCATTATCCCTCATGTACAGACTCAATCAAACCGAGTCTGCAATTCTTATGTTATTTTGTTGTTATTAATGCTTCCGAGGGATCACTTTGTTTCCAGAATTTCAGTTGGCCAGTAAATCCCCGTTAAAATTATTTGATGCGAATCCTTTCCTAGGAATACAACACTTCAGTATCAAAATTTACATTTTCATTAACATATTTAATCAGTATTATTAAGCGTCTAATATTATTCTTTTACACGTATTTTTTATTCTGAGTATCTATATCATCCGAAGAGACTTTTCTTATTTATATGTGAAAAAATTAGGGCCAAATGCATTTATAGAAGACATGACCTGCAATGTGCATTAGTTAATTATTTCCAAGAAGTAGCACCCAAAAATAAGTTGCATTATAAAGGAGTGTTGTTTTTATAGAGGATATTTGTTTATTTGTGTGAAATATGAAATTTTATTTAATCGAGTGGGCTTTAAAAACAGTATTGTAGCACAACACAACAAACAAACAAATGTTCTTTTTATGTTATTCTTAAAAACAAGTTAAAACGAAATATCCTTAACATAAACTTTAATTCAAAAAATCTGTTTTCCGCACTGGCAGGCTCTTTATGTCGAATTTCTAACAAAATAAAGGAAGTCTTGGGCTGAAAAATAAGTTTGACAATCAACTTTAAATGGCGATGATGTTATTTATTTTATTAAAAAATATGAATGTTCGCTTGTTTAAATAATAAAAACAAACAATTCTAGAAGAAGAAAAAGTCGCACCATCCGACCTTATTTCCGCTACTTACTGCAAATTTATATTCGACCTGGCTTTGTGAAATGTGGGATTCAGAGGGATATCATTTGGATTTATTTGTCATGCATCTTTTTAGAAGAAAGAAAACTTACTTGAGGTTTGTTACAGACAAAAAATAAGTGTTGACAGATGTGTAAACATTCAAAAAGCGGCTAGGTAATTGGGAAACATTGAATTGTTGAAACCAAAAGGTTGCTTTACGAACTCAGTGTTGTTTACTTATTACTCGGGCTGATGGCTGTCATTTGTTTTCAATTTTCATAAAGCATACGGCAGTTATTGCTCGTAGGATACTTAAATATGCCCAAATGTCATCAAGAGCAGTTTTGCATGTGAAAGGAATTGTTTTTTTTTTCAGATTGTAAAAAAGAAACAAAAAATTTAGAGACGATATTTTGTAATTGGTAATTTGAATCAATTGAAGTAAGTTTTCTTCTTTTTATTACTTTTGAAATTCAAGTTATTTATCATGTTTAGCTTTCTTTTCTCTTAACAGCCCTGACAATGTCAGAATTGTCAGCAAAAATAAAATTGAGGTATCACATGGGGAAAAACTAAAAAAAGTAGTTTCGTCATTGAAAAGAGTGAAACTATAATTTGTGACTTTTAACTGTGAAATTATCAAATATTATTTTTACGGATAAATCAGTAATCCACTGAAAAGCATAGAATAAAGTTTTGTTATACTTTCATTTTTCTAACTTTAAGAAAGTATGAAAAAGTATAATAAACACGTATACATAATAAATGATTGAAATAACGTACGCAGAGTACGATTATGATGTTCTACAGTAAACATAAACGTATTTTAGTTATTTGAGAATTTGCTTGTCTCTTGATCAAATCCAACCCTTAAACGTATTGGTTTGTTTTCGATTTCAAAAAGCTAAGCAATTGGTTTCTACTCACTTACACTAACAGCTTTTGAAAGTCCATAAAGACTTTAGGTAGAAATGGTTACACATCAACAGAGATTGGTCGTTATCAAGGAGACATATTGAATAAGACTACAAACCGCATGAAGAAATAGATGCTAATGAATGTTTTGTTTAGAACCCTTGCTCCTATTTAATGAAAGGTTATGTATCACTAAACTTAACAGTCGAGTGTCAGACATTTAACATGAAAAAAGTAAAAAAGTGCAATATATTGAATACGCCAAACGTTGCTTCCCCAAGACTAATAACCTTCAAAGTGTGTACATTCACTGACTCTGAGTTCTTTGCCAAATTATGATTGTAACGATCAATGTAGAGGTATCCTTTTTCTGAGCAGTAATCAAAATATAATGACAATCTTATTGATTACACATTAAATAGTTTGTTCATATTGTAAATGTACATAAGGCTTTTATTCTTAAGTTATTTTTTTCCAGAATTTGACAGCATTAAAGGCTAAAATGTACGAGATGTGTTAATGTTTTCCAAAAGACCTTACATTCTGCCACCGGGGGTAGTAAATAAGAATTGAAGACCAACTGACCCTAATTTTCACGACATGAAACCACATTGCTTTTTTTACTGTATAAAAAAGACAGGATTGAATTTTCAAATGTTCCAATCAGTTCAAACTAATGCTGTAAATTTCATGTAAAGAAGTTCACGAAACGTAGTGGTAATTAAAATTATTTGATTATAAGCCATCTTAAAGGTATATAGTTTGCACAGAGCGATAAACACAAAATAGACGCATGTTACAAATACTTGTAACTTTAAAAGTAAACATCCTATGACTGTTTTGTAAAATAATTATCCTTGGTCAGACAATACTACAGCATTGAAAATGCTTCAGGTTCAGCTTGAGCATGTTCACACCATTACATTATTTTGGCAAACCTTCAATATACAGTCCTATTTATACAACATCAAGCTAATAATGGGGTTAATTGTATTTTTATGCTGGGTAGAAACTGGGTCTAGCTTTTTGGAGGTTTGATATATGTATATAAAAATCCACTGATGTCCAAAAGCCTAAAACATTAAACTTGAATTTCTTACATATAAATAAAATTGGGCAGTGAACACAGTAAGCTATACAAAAGATAATGAAGAAATATACTCAGAATTAAATTAAATATATGATTTCTTAACATGCGTAACAAATGCTGTGCCAGTTGTATTAAAAGAAGGCATGCGCCCAAACCGTGATCTGTAAAGCCATTTACATTTTCTTTATTGAAGCACATTAAAGTCACAATACAATTACATATTTTATTATATTAGAGCGCTGTGTGCTGTTTGCGATTATTTTAACTTTCGTCTTTCTACCTTATATAATATATTATAAATGACACTACAACAGAATAATAAGCCAGGAAATCAGATTAATTTGCTAACCTGTCTTTGTATGTCTCGTTATCAATGCAATGTCAAGTGACTGTTAAATTTTGTTTCCGATTCTAGAAAAGTTGCAGAAGAATGTGTTTTCTACTTACTTACCCTGGCAGCTGCTGATATCCCAAAAATAATTTATAAGAAACGAAAAGGATATGAAAGAAAAACGTTTTCAATAAGGATTAACGAGAAATGTCAATAAAAACGAGTATATTGAAGAAGCTGCAAGTGAAGGAGAGTTTTATCTGAATAAAAACAGCTTAAGATTGTTAGGTTACAGCATATTCCATTAAATCCGAAGAACAGACTCGATTAAAAGCAATTTTAAAGTATTTGTGTTTGTTATCATAACGTTTGTGATTTCGTCTTTTCCATGATAACGGACGGAATATATTTTCTGAAATATAATTTGATATTTACAATTCAATAGTAAACAAATTAAGTTGAAAAAATAAAACAACAATTCAGTCAGGTAAGTCCGACCGATGCCGAGCTGTTTATGTTAACCGACTTCAAATCACATGCCATGTGATTTCGAAAGCAACCTGGGACTTTGATTCTTCCGTGGGGAAAACCTAACGCGCTAGCACCATAATGTCTCTCAAAATGTCCAAAAGTTCTCTGCAGGTGCAACATTTTGTCTGAAATAATGCACAAAGGCGCACCTGAGGTTATTGTCTCTCTCTAGTAAAGCTAGAGTGTAGAATGCAAGTTTGAAATAAAACCACAAAAATATCAGTTTACCTAGAACAAGTAGAACTACATTTTACTAAAAGCTTAGCTAGCCAAAATAAAGTTTGTGACTTGAGTTCATAGACTTCTATAATCCCAAAAAATATAGGGATAACATTTAACATACAAGAGATGATATAAGAAATTATTTCAGATATTATGATTAACATGTTCATGTTTATCTGAAAGTAGCTTCCGCATGTAAACTTTAAATTCAATGCTATATTTGAAAT